GATTCTCCTGCCTCAGTCTCCCAAGTAGCTGGGACTCCAGGTACCCACCGCCATGCCCAGCTAATTTTATTTGTATTTTTAGTAGAGGTGGGGTTTCACCATGTTGGCCAGGATGGTCTCCATCTCTTGACCTCGTGATCCACCCGCTTCGGCCTCCCAAAGTTCTGTGATTAGAGGCATAAGCCACCACGCCTGATCAATTCCTTCCACTTTTATTGTCTTCGTGCCTCACTAGCAAGTCCTAAAAATAACCTGTTTTATCTACAGAGGACTGCAGATAGCATCTGGTATTTTATACTATCAAGTGCCAGGGTATATTTTTTCCATGAAAGCATTTGAATGAATAAAAAATGTGCAACAGAATTGTATCTGCCCTAAACAGGTGCTCACTAAATAGTGTTTTTTGGTTTTGTTTTTTATTTTGAGACAGAGTTTCACTCTTGTCACCCAGGCTGGAGTGCAGGGGCATGATTTCGGCTCATTACAACCTCTGCCTCCCAAGTTCAAGCGATTCTCCAACCTCAGCCTCCCAGGTAGCTGGGATTACAGGCACCTGCTATCATGCCCAGCTAACTTTTGTATTTTTGTAGAGATGAGGTTTTATCATGTTGGCTAGGCTGGTCTTGAACCCCTGACCTCAGGTGATCTGCCTGCCTCAGCCTCCCAAAGTCCTGGGATTATGGGTGTGAGCCACTGCGCCCAGCCCTAAATAGTTAATATACTATTTAAGTCATATATTCATTGATTTATCCATCAGTTGCATATTAACCATAGATATAGTCCATGCATTATGGACATAAAGGTGGCAAGATACCCAGGGTAACTTCTCTCGAGGAATTTAAAATTTAGTTAGAGTAAGGAGCTACAAGCAGTAAACAGATGAATAAGATAATTGCAGGTTGTGTCATTGCTGTGAATTAAATAAAAGGGACTGACTTGAAGTGGGGGTGACAGCCTTAGAAGGGAAGGTGAGGGATCATAAAGGGGTTATTTGAGCCAAAATCCAAAGGATGGAAGGACCAGTCATAGGGAGAGTCAGAGAAGCAGCATCCTTGGAGATGGTAGTGGAAATTCCCAAGTGCAGAGGCCCAGAGGCAGGAACAGGAATTTGTGTATTTATGGAAAGAAGAGAAAGCCGGTATAGTTACATGGGAGGAGAGACGGCAGAACTGGATCATATAGGATCTCTAGGCTGTATTAAGGAGTTTGGATTTTAAAAGAAAATGAATCATTCTACCAAAAAGACACATGCATTCGTATGTTCATCACAGTGCTATTCACAGTAGCAAAGACATGGAATCAACATAGGTGCTCATCAACAGAGGATTGGATAAAGAAAATGTGGTGCACATACACCATGGAATACTACACAGCCATAAAAAAGAAATGAAATCATGTCCTTTGCAGCAACATGGATGCAGCTAGAGGCCATTATCCAAAGCAAATTAATGCAAGAACAGAACAGCATGTTCTCACTTAGTAGTGGGAGCTAAACGTTGGGTACTTATGGACATAAAGATGGCAACAAAAGAAACTGAGGACTCCTAGAGTGCAGAGGGAGGGAGGGAGGCAAGGATCGAAGGACTATTGGGTACTGTGCTCAGTACCTGGATGATGGGATCATTTGTACCCAAAACCTCAGCATCATGTAATATTACCAAGGTCACAAACCTGCACATGTACTCCTGAATCTAAAATAAAGGTTGAGGCTGGCTGGGCACAGTGGCTTATGCCTGTAATGCCAGTACTTTGGGACGCCAAGGTGGGCAGATCACCTGAGGTCAGGAGTTCAAGACCAGCCTGGCCAACATGGTGAAACCCTGTCTCTACTAAAAATACAAAAATTAACTAGTTATGGTGGCAAGAGCCTATAATCCCAGCTTCTTGGGAGGTTGAGCCAGGAGAATCATTTGAACCCAGGAGGCGGAGGTTGCAGTGAGCCAAGATCGCACCACTGCAGTCCAGCCTGGGCGACAGGGCGAGACTCCATCTCGAAAAAAAAAAAACAGTTGGGCAAAAGGGTTTGGATTTTATTCTAGCTGTGATTGAAGCCATTAGATGGGTAAAAGGAAAGGACTTTCAACAATGAGATACCCTGTTAGCTGCCACATATATGTAGAATGGCCCCAAACTTGACCATGTGACAGTGGGCTAAAAATGCAGCTATGTCTAACTTTTTAAGTTTCAGACAAAGTCAATTCAGGGGCCTCTTTTTTGCTGTTGTTCCTAAAAGAAGGATGATTGTGTTTTGGGGTCAGGTCGGTGGAAGGATTCAAAATCAACCTGATTCGGAGTGAGGAGCACTTTCAGAGTTACTGCAACAAGATCTTTGCTGGCTGGGACTTCTGCATCACTAACCGCAGCATGGCGGATCTGAAGCACAGCAGCTTGCGGTACGAGCTCCGAGTGAGTGCTCCTGGGTTTTCCCATAGTGGGGTCCTCACCGGCAAGTCCTGCCTTGGGAGCTTGAGTTTTCAGCTTGCAGAGGATCTAGGATGGGGGCCAGGTGGTCCCTGGTGCTTATCAAGTTACTTCTGTATAGTTTTCAAGAACTTTTCACAGCGAACACGTTACTGGGGTTGATTACCCTAGACTTGAACAGGAGCACTGGTGAACTGGGATGGGGAAGTGGGGTGGGGAGGCAGTGGCTGCAAGGAGATGATGTCTTTCCCCACACCCTGCTACTTTACATTGTTATTTTTCCACCTGATGAGGACCTGTCATAAACATTTGCTTATATCAGGAGAAATGGGACTAAGGAGGGAACATTCTGACAATAGGGTGGGATGGAGAGTATATGAAAAAGCACAAGAGAGTTTCCAAATGAATGCAAGAAAGAAGTAAAGAATAGCATGTTAATAAACCCATCAAAGAAAAGGAGGAGGGGACAAATGGAAGCATAATAAAGTGGAAGGAATAAAATCAAATCTATTCTTTCTTACACTAAATATGAACAGATTAAATTCTCCTAATAAAAGCAGAGACTACTTTTACCAGAGATTGGGTAAAAGAAAAAATAACACCAACTCATCTATATGCTGTTTGAAGAAATGACACGTACTATATTTAAGTAATATGAATAGTTTATAGTTCTGTTTCCACATTCATTCCAAAGTCCAATTGCAGCCTTTTTTTTTTTTTTTTTTTTTTTTTTTTTT